TCAATTGTGGCAATTGAAAATCTAATCTTGGCACAGGGGCCCCAGCTCAATTTTATGCAGGTACGCCAGACTGATCAGGTCTGGTATCCACCATTACGCATAGCTTCGTTGGCATGCGTTTGCGTAATGGCCGCATGCCCCCTGCAACAGTTTATTTGGTAAATGTCCAATGCCGAATTGTGTTGAAAAGTGAAATTGCAAACAGTGTAGGAGTGACCCTCTGCTCCCATGTGCTAGGGAGGTTCACACACACACAGCCCCAATGGGGCGTACATGCTTCAAGTAGAGTGAAAGGTCTGATGCGCGGCAATAGGAGTGAATGGCGCACTTTTCTCGCTGTCAATAGCGATCGGGTGATTGTCGTATTTCCTGATCCGAACAGGTTCTAACAAAAAGCACCGGCATCAACGTGGCTAATGTGGTGACTGAATCCCAATCATGTAGTCGTCGACGGTTTTGTTCGAAGAAGAAAGCTGGGATTTTAGGAGTTCTGCCGGTGATCTCCTTGATGCGGTAGGAGAAGATCTTGCGAGCTTGGAGAACGTTGTCACCCAGACAAAGCACCACGTGTAAGAACATGTGCTTGTCTCTGGTGATGCGGTCGGGTGGAATTTCAACAGTCATCCGAAAACATTGTCCTGCCATGGAGTACCATGGAAGGCCGGCCTCGGCAGCCTTTCGCTTTGTCATATTTTTGCTGCTACCAACCGACAAAAGCTTGAACAAGGAATGCAAATCAACATGGACATGATGTGTGCTCTGGCAAAACAACAAAGTGGTGTCGTCCTGACACTCGCATGCGCAGGCTTTTTTGTCACGCTTAGCGGATCTTGCAGCCCTAATCCGTCCTGAGAATTAGGGTCCAACAGCGAGTTTGTTGGGACAGTCACTCATGATCTTGAAATGGCATCGACACCTAAAACCTGCACGTACCAGCATTTTTGCACAAGCGGTTTTGGACCGCTTGTGCTGAATAGTAGGATGCACAATATCGTAAGGTGCAATCGAGTCAGAAGAC